GGGTGGAGTGGGGTGGGGTGATGGGAGAGGAGGTGACATGCTGGGGACATCAAGCGCGTAAGGCATAGCAGGCCCTCGGATGCGCTTGTGAGCTGAGGCTGCGAGGGTGCAAGCTGGGGGGATTGGGGCGTAGACAGCATGTTCTTGTGAGTGTGTGTGCGTGTGTGCATGCGTGCGTGCGTGTGTGTGTGAGTGTGTGTGTGTGTGTGTGTGTGTGCGTGCGTGCGTGCGTTTGTGTGTGCGTGCGCGTGCGTGCGTGCATGCGCCCGTGCGTGCGCGCGCGGGCGTGCCCCTGTGAGGGTATAGAACCATGGTATGGCCCCACAGCCACCATTGCTCCAAGCCTTTTGTTTGACGATCTCCCTTCTCCTCAACCACTGGTCATAAGCAAGGGCCGCAGGCGCCCCCAATGCGCATCCACACGGCTCCCCCCACCCCCCACCCCCTGGTGTCAGGTGTGCCGCGCGTACGCTGTTGAGGGTGGCACCACTGTTGTGGTGATGAAGCAGAGGGAAAAGCTGGAGCAGGAGGAGGTCTTCAGGTGGGGGGAGGGTGGCTGAGGTCAGGGGGGGGGTGAGACGACGGGGTGTCGTCGTTAAGGGGGGTTGGACTGGATGACTAACTGGGGCCTGGGCTTGGCTGCTGGCCAAAGGAGGGCTGGTGCCGCGGCCAGAGTGACGGTCCCAAATTGCAAGGGGGAGGGGGTGTGCGGCGCCACGCTGCCGCCCCTGGTTCAGGCTGTGCAGTGCAGGGGCCGCGACGGCGCACCCGCCGACCGCCAGCCTCCCGCACGTTGCACCTCCCCCTCCCCGGCCCAAAGGCGTGCCATTCCTGAGCGCGAGCGGCGCGGGACGCGACTCGTGTTCCGCCAGGGCAGCCCCTTGGTGCCTGCTGACCTGCAGCTCGTGGCCGCCTCGAGGGCCGGCGCCACCATCATCATGAGTGACCAGAGCAGGCGCGTGTGGAGGGGCGGGAGGGTGCGCCGGTTGGTGCGTTGCGGCTGCCTGGCATCAGCTCTTGGCTGGGGCTGCCAGGATGCGGCGTACAGCGGCGAGCAGAGAGGCGGGGGCAGAGTGCGTTCGGGCCTGCAAGTACGCGGCCGGTAGGTCAGGGAAGCACTGGCAGTGGATTAAGCCAAGTGTGGCTGCTGCACCCGCCGAGCTTCAACCACCGCACCCTCACCCCCGGCCCCTCGCTTCAGACACCTCATGACCCCTGCTCCCTTGACCGCAGGACCCCTGATGAGGCGGACGCACAGGTCATCAGGTGGGTAGGGGTGGGGTTTTGTGCTGAACGGGCTGCCCGAGCTTCGCATTAGAATTTGGGCATCTCCCCCCAAAGTCCACTTCCTCAGCCTTCAACTGCCCTGAGCAGCCGCCGCCCGCGACACCTGGGAGCTCCCAACTAACACACACAACCCAGAACGCATGATTTGAACCACCATCCTGCCCCACACGCCTCCCATCCACTTGTGACATCATCATGACGTCATCCTGTGCAGGTGTGCCATCCTGCTTGACGAGCTTGATGACTACAGGGGCCTCAGGACCGGCAGCGCCGCCGCCACTGGGCAGTGAGGCATGCTGGCCGTTTTTTGGGGGGTGCAGATTTGGGGTGGTGGGGTGGGCGGGTCGTAAGGGGGGCCGAAAAGGAGTTATTCCAGGCTGGGCTGCATTACCTCACCGGCCACCGCCGCAAAAGAATGGCAACGGGGGCGAAGAAGCAGGGGCTGGGCGGCCGGAGTCGGTGCTGGTAGGGGTGGGGGAGTCTTGTCTCAGTCGTACTCGTGCAGGCAGAGGCTGCTGGCTGCACTGCTCTGCCCTGAATGGCGCCTCCCGCAGTCCCATATGCTTTCGTATTGTGACCGGGCATGCTATAGACATTGTCCTTCAGTTTGCTGTGCTGGACCCATGCCTCACCTGGCGCGCCCGAACCCCACGCACAAACACACACAAAAACACACACACAAACACACACACTCACACGCTCTCCTGCCCCTAACCCCTCCTGCAGCGTTGTGGCTGAGCTGCGCACGCGCAGCGCGCTGCAGATACTGCGCTACAGCTGCAGCCCCAGGGTGGTGGGCGTGCCCACGGGGCAGCTCAACGCGCGCAGGGTGCGCGTGTGCGGGACCCTGTGCCCGCTTGGGCGGTTCTGTCCTGTCACCTGTGTCCTGCGCCCCAAAGCCAGGGCCAGGGCGGTTGGTCTGCGACAGTGATTATGTGTGTTGCGTTGGGGCGGCTGGACGCTGAACCCAGCAATCTTTGCGCTTGCTGGTGTTGCAAGCCATAATGTTGATCCCACCCCACACTCTAACCCCAGACCGCTCTGCCGATGTTGAGGTAGCCGTTTGCCCCAACCACCCAGGACACCCCGGCCCTGCCCACGGGTGTTCGTCCCCATCAGCCCTCCCCCACCGCCGCCCCCCCCCCCACCCCCGCAGCTGGTCAAGATGGTCAAGGCGCCCTTCATCTCCTGGATAGCGGGGCGCCTGTTCAACTTCGAGAACAAGGCTTCAAACTACGTGCAGGCCTTCCCGGAGCTGGTGGGCTGCAGGTGCGCGGGACAGACAGGGTGCGGGCCGTTGGGGGCGGATGGTGAGGGTGAGGCGCTTGAGCGACATGCACGTGTGCCCTTGTGCGTGGGCGCCGTGTCTGTTTGTGTGTGCACGTGTTTGCATAGATGTGCTGACTGTGGGGTTGTGGATGCCCACGAGGATAAGTACTCAAGAAGACGAGTTTGTGGATTGTACCGCACTATGATGGGCAAGCGAGCCATCAAGCCTGCTGCCTGGTGGGGGCGACGTCCCGTCCTCCCCCGTCCCCCAAACGCCCACCTCGAACCCCTGACCCCTCAATACCCATGCGCATCCAGAGTATGAGACGTCCGCACTGTCAAACCAAAGCCACCTGGGGCCCTGCCCCTCACCCGCCCCACCCCTCCCCCTCCCAGGTTTGGGGAGCTGCCCTTCAGGTGTGGGGGTGGCGAGGGCGGGCACTGCAGAGGGCCTCCCTCGCGTTGTGTGTGGGCATGAGGTGGCAGGCGATGGGAGTACCTCAGCCCATCGGCTGTGAGTGGCTGTTTGCTAGGGACCCTGCGGCGGCATCAGTGACACGCGGGGCCGTCGTGAGCGTGTGGCAGCTGAGCAGGCGGCCCTTCTCCTCGGCCCGCGCCCCTCCTGAGCCCCGACCTGAACCCTGGCCCTGGTCGTCCCCGCGTCCCCGCCTCCCCGTGATGCCCCCTCCCCCCTCCCCCCTTGATCCAATCACTGTGTCTGCGGCTGTGGCTGCCCCCAGATTCCCTGACGCCTCAGTGTGGGGTGTGGCGCGCTCCCAGGAGGGGTCCATGGTGCTCAACACCAGCGCAGATTATGTGGTGGGTGGCTGGTGTGTGTTTTGTGAATGTGTGTGTGTGTGTGTGTGTGTGTGTGTGTGTGTGTGTGCATGTGCATGCGTTCATGCATGCGTGCGTGCCCGCCCCTGCGTGCGTGCGTGCGTGTGCGTGTGCGTGCGTGCATGTGCGCGTGTGTGTGTGTGTGCGTGCATGTGCGTGTGTGTGTGTGTGTGTGTGTGTGTGTGTGAGTGTGCGCGCGCGCTCGGGTGCATGTGTATCCCTGTGGGGGCTGAAGGGGTAGGATGCAGGAGGCGAGGCGGGCGAGGATAGCGCTGTATAGTAGATAGAGTGCTTCCTTTCCTCCCGTCAGGCTGACTGTGCGGCGG